TAATGCCGTCAGCCCCTACGATTGTTCTATACCAAAAAAAATTATGCCCCTATTTTTTTATTTTGAAATAAAAAAAAATTAGGGTGTGCTCAAAGCGCTCAAAGTTTTCAATGTATTTTATATGGGGAAAAAACAACTTTTCGTAGAAATAGTGTAGAATTCTTGAAAATCAATATTTTTCGATCGGGAAACTTTGCTTATCTTCAGGAGATTCCCGGTAATAATACCCAATCGTTCCTTCAACAATTTTTTCATGGTGACTATATTTTATAAAAATATTTAATCATAAAAAATGGTTAAATAAACAATTGGATATCAATATTTGAAGTCTCCTGAAGAGAACCACAGTTTTCTTCTTCTTCTTCTTTTTTGGCGCTGTAACCGCCTAAGCGATTTTGGCCGAGTTCAGCAAAGCACGCCAGTCGATTCTCCTCTGTGCCAACTGACGCCAATTGGAAACGCCAAGTGAAGCCAAGTCCTTCTCCACCTGATCTTTCCATCGCAGTGGGGGCCTCCCTCTTCCTCTGCTACCACCAGCGGGTTCCGAGTTGAATACTTTCAGAGCTGGAGCGTCGGTGTCCATTCGAACGACATGACCAAGCCAGCGGAGCCGCTGTATTTTAATTCGCTGCACTATGTCCATATCGTTGTAAAGCTCATACAGCTCATCGTTCCATCGTCTGCGGTACTCGCCGTCGCCAACGCGTAAAGGCCCGTAAATCTTCCGCAAAATCTTTCTCTCAAACACTCCAAGAGCCGCCTCATCGGATGTTGTCATTGTCCATGCTTCTGCGCCATATACCAGCACGGGCATGATGAGTGACTTATAGAGCGTGGTTTTCGTACGTCGAGAGAGGACTTTACTCCTGAATTGCCTACTCAGTCCAAAGTAGCACTTGTTGGCAAGAGTGATTCTACGTTGGATTTCAATGCTGACATTATTATCGGTGTTAATGCTGGTTCCCAAGTAAACGAAATTCTCTACTTTCTCGAAATTGTAACTGTCAACAGTGACGTGGGTGCCAAGGCGCGAATGTGCTGACTGTTTGTTTGATGACAGGAGATACTTCGTCTTGTCCTCGTTTACCACCAGACCCATGCGCTTTGCTTCCCTATCCAACTTGGAGAAGGCAGAACAGACTTCGCGGTTTTTGTTACCGATGATGTCGATGTCATCGGCATAAGCCAGCAATTGCACGCTCTTGTAGTAAATTGTTCCTGAGCGGTTCAGTTCTGCAGCTCTTATTATCTTCTCCAACATCAGATTAAAGAAGTCACATGAAAGGGAGTCGCCCTGTCTGAAACCCCGTTTTGTGGCGAACGGCTCGGAGAGGTCTTTTCCAATTCTGACGGAGCTGGTGGTATTGCTCAACGTCATTTTACACAGCCGTATGAGTTTTGAGGGGATGCCAAATTCAGACATAGCGGCGTATAGGCAACTCCTTTTAGTGCTGTCAAAAGCGGCTTTAAAGTCGACAAATAGGTGGTGAGTGTCGATCCTTTTCTCGCGGGTCTTTTCCAAGATTTGGCGTATTGTGAATACCTGGTCTATGGTGGATTTGCCAGGTCTAAAGCCACACTGATAAGGCCCAATCAGTTCATTGACGGTGGGCTTCAGTCTTTCACACAATACGCTCGATAAGACCTTGTAACCTATGCTTAGAAGGCTGATCCCGCGGTAGTTGGCGCGAATGGCGGGGTCACCTTTCTTGTGGATTGGGCAGAGCACACTTAAATTCCAGTCGTCGGGCATGCGTTCATCTGACCATATTCTGCACAAGAGTTGATGCATGCACCTTATCAACTCCTCGCCGCCGTACTTGAATAGCTCAGCTGGCAGGCTGTCAGCTCCAGCGGCTTTGTTGTTTTTCAGCCGCGTTATTGCTATACGTACCTCGTCATAGTCAGGCGGTGGAACGTCGACTCCGTCATCATCGACTGCGGGCTCGGGTTCTTCTTCTCCACAACTTTCTGTGCTGCTACCATTTAGTAGGGCGGAAAAGTGTTCCCTCCATAATTTAAGTACGCTCTGGACATCAGTTACTAGGTCGCCATTATTGTTCTTACAGGAGTGCGCCCCGGTCTTTAAACCTTCCGTAAGTCGCCTAACTCTCTGGTAAAATTTTCGGGCATTCCTCCTGTCGGCCAGCATTTCAAGCTCTTCGCACTCACGTATTTCTGCCTCTCTCTTCTTGTTGCGGCAAATACGTCTCGCTTCCCTCTTCAGATCCCTATAGCGGTCCCACATAGCGCGCGTTGCGCCCGATCGCAGCGTGGCCCTGTAGGCGGCATCTTTTTTCTCTGCAGCTTCCTGACACTCCTCATCGTACCAGTTGTTCTTTCGGGCTCGCTGAAATCCGACTACTTCTTCGGCGGCGGTACTTAATGAGCGGGAAATGTGGTTCCACTGCTCGCATATGTCGGTTTGTTGAAGAGTGCTCTCTGAGAGCAGGTGTGAGAGTCGAGTAGCGAAAGCGCTGGCTGTCTGTTGTGATTGCAGCTTTTCGACGTTAAGCTTTCCTTGCATATTTGGGCGCACATTTTTTGCTGCACAGAGGCGGGTGCGTATCTTGGCTGCAACAAGATAGTGGTCCGAGTCGATGTTTGGGCCTCGGAGTGTGCGTACGTCTAAAACACTGGAAGCGTGCCTTCCGTCTATCACAACATGATCGATTTGGTTTCTCGTTTTTCGATCCGGAGACAGCCACGTAGCTTGATGGATCTTTTTATGCTTGAACCTAGTACTGCATACTACCATGTTTCGGGCCCCGGCGAAGTCGATCAGCCTCAATCCGTTGTCGGACGTTTCGTCGTGGAGGCTGAATTTTCCGACGGTGGTTCCAAAGATCCCTTCTTTGCCCACCCTGGCATTGAAGTCGCCAAGCACGATTTTGATATCATGACGGGGGCAGCGCTCGTACGTGCGCTCCAAGCGCTCATAGAAGAGATCCTTGGATGCCTCATCCTTCTCTTCCGTCGGGGCATGGGCGCAGATGAGCGAGATGTTGAAGAATCTCGCTTTGATGCGGATTGTGGCTAGACGCTCGTCCACCGGGGTGAACGACAGTACTCGGCGACGGAGTCTCTCTCCCACCACAAATCCAACTCCGAATTTGCGCTCCTTTACATGGCAGCTGTAGTAGACGTCGCAAGGCCCCAGACATTGTTTGCCTTGCCCCGTCCAACGCATTTCTTGGATGGCGGTGATGTCAGCTTTTGTCCTTACGAGGACATCAACCAGCCGGGCAGAGGCACCTTCCCCATTAAGGGTCCGGACATTCCAGGTGCATGCCCTCAAATCGTAGTCCTTTAAACATTTGCCGTGGTCGTCATCATAAGGGGGGGTCTCATCCGAGGCTTTGCCTTGCTTCTTCACTGGAAGTGGTTTTTACGTGGCGGGTCCCAAGCCCAGCGCACAACCCATTGCTGGGACGGGGGTGGTTTCGCAACCAAATACACGTTTATATAGCGAGCCGCTTGCTCCAAGCAGACACCCGCTTGCAGCCGCACCTACTGGTGAACAGACGCTGCAGACTTCAGTGAGCCCTTAAACCGAATAAGTCAGAGTGGCCCCACCGAAGCTCCCTCTCTTTCTGCCGTGACCCAAGGCTCCACTCGGATTGGTTACCGCATCTCGCACATGGGTTGCTCACGTTGCCCAGAGTGCGCGAACGAGGACGCAAGAGTCGGGATTGAGTATAGCCATGCAACTGTAACTACATACCCAGCGCAACGACTATACCCCATTGCACTCCACAGTTTTACGATTGAAAAATATTGATTTTCAAGAGTTTTATGCCATTTTTACGAAAATTGGTTTTTCCCCATATAAAAAACATGGAAAACTTTGAGCGCTGTGAGCAGTCCCTAAATATTTTGATTTCAAAATAAAAAAATAGGGGTATATTTATTTTCGGTTCAGAACAATCCTAGGGGATGGCGGCATTAAAATTCCGACTTTATTATTTTGGACCACCCTAATGTACATACATGCATATATATGTACAAATGTACATATATGAGCATATACGCATCCACATATGCATCTAAGCTTATTTAAGTTTATCTTTTTTTTTAACAAGGTAGGTATTTGTTTGACATATTTGTAATTTTATTTTTTTCTTATAAATTTCTTCCCTTAGTTAGTATGCATATAGAAATATGTAGTAGTTTCTACTATATAGGCCCAAAGGACTCACCCTTTGTTGCAGCAGGTCTTTGTGGGGGCCTGCTGTTGTTGATGCTCTGTGCGGTTGAAAATTCCGCGATGTGACCACTCTGGGGTCATGATCGTTGTAGTTACCGCCCGTTGTTGTTGTTGTTGCTTGGCGGTTGTAAGACGCTGCGGCTTTTGTTAAGCCGGCCGTTGTTGTTGTTGCCCCGTGCGGTTGCGAATGACCGCGATATAACCACTCTGGGGTCGGGGTCGTTGCAGTTGCCGCCCGTTGTTGTTGTTGTTGCTTGGCGGTTGTAAGACGCTGCGGTTGTTGTTAAGCCGGCCGTTGTTGTTGTTGCCTCGTGCGGTTGCATATGACCGCGATGTGACCACTCTGGGGTCGGGGTCGTTGTAGTTGCCGCCCGTTGTTGTTGCTTGGCGGTTGTAAGACGCTGCGGCTGTTGTTAAGCCTGCCGTTGTTTTTGTTGCCCCGTGCGGTTGCGTATGACCGCGATGTGACCACTCTGGGGTCGGGGTTTGTAGTTGCCGCCCGTTGTTGTTGTTGTTGCTTGGCGGTTGTAAGACGCTGCGGTTGTTGTTAAGCCGGCCGTTGTTGTTGTTGCCTCGTGCGGTTGCATATGACCGCGATGTGACCACTCTGGGGTCGGGGTCGTTGTAGTTGCCGCCCGTTGTTGTTGCTTGGCGGTTGTAAGACGCTGCGGCTGTTGTTAAGCCTGCCGTTGTTTTTGTTGCCCCGTGCGGTTGCGTATGACCGCGATGTGACCACTCTGGGGTCGGGATTTGTAGTTGCCGCCCGTTGTTATTGTTGTTGCTTGGCTGTTGTTAAGCCGGCCGTTGTTTTTGTTGCCCCGTGCGGTTGCGTATGACCGCGATGTGACCACTCTGGGGTCGGGATTTGTAGTTGCCGCCCGTTGTTATTGTTGTTGCTTGGCTGTTGTTAAGCCGGCCGTTGTTGTTGTTGCCTCGTGCGGTTGCGTATGATCGCGATGTGACCACTCTGGGGTCGGGGTCGTTGTAGTTGCCGCTCGTTGTTGTTGCTTGGCGGTTGTAAGACGCTGCGGCTGTTGTTAAGCCGGCCGTTGTTGTTGTTGCCTCGTGCGGTTGCGTATGACCGCGATGTGACCACTCTGGGGTCGGGATTTGTAGTTGCCGCCCGTTGTTGTTGTTGTTGCTTGGCGGCTGTAAAACGCTGCGGCTGTTGTTACGCCGGCCATTGTTGTTGTTGCCCTGTGCGGTTGCGTATGACCGCGATGTGACCCGCCCGTTGTTGCTCGGTTTACCTCAGGGAAACTCGCTTCAGATCGCCACCCCTGAAATACATTCAAATATTATTTAAATTAAATTCCTTTTTTTTCACCTTCATAGAGCACTTTTTAAAGAATGGAGTTAAATGTACTAAGTCCTAGTTCTAGTTTTAAGTAATGCACATGTTACAAGTTTAAGGTAGCAATCGCTTGAATTTTCTTGTGAGGTAACGATTTAACCCGTCAAGGCGCAACAGAATTACTTCAAAAAATTACCTTTGACGAATTTGCACTTTATACTTATATTGCATTCACTTAGCCATCAAATTAAATGATAGGAACCAATACTTTAACGACTTCTTCTAGATTTATATGTATAAGGACTTAACTTTTACCAATTGGTTGCGAAAAACAAAACCACTATTCGCACTTGTAAATTTAATATTTTTTGAGGTAGGAAACACCAAGTTATTCATGATTTTAAATTTTAAATATAAGGAAAGAAAATACTTGGGGCACGTGCGCAATTCCCAGGGAACTGCACGCAGGACCACGAATTTCAATTAGCTATTGCGATAGCCCTATTTCTACTCACCTGAGTTTTCCCTTTGCTTAATTTAGACTGCTACGCTTCTCCGTTTGTTATTTTACCGCGTTTAATCGCGAAATACCCATGCACGCCTTTACCGCCCGGCTTCACTTATTTAAACTTTTTATTTTTATTTTATTTTCTCTTTAAATTTTCACGATTTAAAATGTTTCTGCGCGCCGATCGTCACTGCAACTTTATTATAATTAACACCTCTAGTGGCACTTTCATGTCTATGTCAAAACAATCAATGGCCGATTGCGGAGTTGCCAGCAGGTTTTTGTATCCTTGCACTGCGGGAAATTAGGTATTCCATTTGGAAGAATAACGGACGCTGCGTCATTTGGACTAGTTCCGTTACTCTTCCAACTGGAATTTGCCACAGTGCAAGGAGGAATGTCAAAAAAGAATGTTCGAAGCTTTCCTTTACCATGACCCCGGTGAGCAGCCCATCAATAGCTTTGCTTCTTCACTGGAGGATACAGTTATAGCTGACCAACTATCATTTCGATGATAGATGAGCGTTCTATCAGATGGCTTGGAAACGTACTTTTGCCGGACTTAGGCAGTCTGCACACGGGTCGTATAGCTTTAGACGCGTATTAGATGCTACATACGAAATTTGTACGCTTTGACGCCGCACACGTGCATTTAAATGGAGGGCTGTATACGAGTCGTCAACTTCACGAATTCGTCAAAGCAAGCTAGCTGCGAATCGCTTGGCCTACAGCAGTGGTTGTAGCTAGGTGTACGTACGCTTAGAAAAGAGAAAGAAGAAGAAGTTTGTTTACAATTTTACGTGTGCGTGCATGCAGTTCATAAAAAAAAAACCTATCTATACTATATATAAAATTAAAGCCCAAAAAAACGTGAGAGCAAAACAGCCGATGTACTGGGTCGATTTCTATGATTCAGGTTTTAAAATTACCTATTTCTACCGCAATAGGACACAGTGGTATTTTTAAAATGAAATTTTAATAATAAGAATGTTTAATTAAAGTATTAAGTTGATCAACAATACCACGCATTGCTAGACCGTTTGCCCTTCACGCGTTTGTGTTTAGAGAGCATCAACAAACCACATACATATTTCTCTCTATTCTCTTATCTTCTTATACTCAGCTAGCACAGCGCCAGCTTCAGGCATGTAGCGCTGCACCCAAAGCGAAATTTATGTATGTACAAGCAGCGCTACGTTCAAAACAAAGAAACACTGTACATCGTGCATTTCGTTTGGCAACTGTTTTTGTTTTTCTTACTTCAAAATGCTGCTTGCTGCGATATCAGCTCATGCTCACTGTAAGCTTCTTGATGTGGTATATGTATATACATTGATCTTCAGCTTTTCCTTTATTTCATAAAGATGAAGTTCGTAAAAAAAGTTGCCGCTGCGTAGCAAAAACCCAATTTTACATCGCTGCAGTAGCATTAAGAATAAATAACACAAAGAAATGTCTGTCTCGCTTCATGCGAATTCTGCACAAAACACAACTCAACAATGCTAGTTCAACAGATCAACATTCAATCAATCCCATTAGATTTTAATACATGCATACATATGTACATAAGTATGTTCAAATTAGAATTGATAAGGTAAAGTAATTTAGCCCTGTTTTTTTATGGGAATCCTGCCTCTGTCTAGCCGAATCCCATTTTTCCAACGCTGTAGTGGCATGCACAAACAACAGCAAATCAATGATGTACATATGTGTGTCTCTTTCTTGTGCTTCATGGGAATTCGGCACATTGTTTTCGCGAAGTTAATAAATTAGCAAGTGCGTTAAAAGCTGAGTTTTTTGGCTTATACAAAGTGGAGTTTCGTTACTAAATGCAAAAAAATCTTTAAAATAACAGAACAGTGCGAAGTATTTAAAAATGCCTAAAGGTAAAATAAATTTGTCAAGACAAACGAGAGCCGCAAGGGCAATGGCCGGTAAACGGAGAATAACAGCGGCGGCGCGAATAGAAACGATGCCTGCAATCGGAATTAGATCTGCGTTTATTTATCGACCTCAAATCAATTTAAAAGTGGATTTTTACAATAAAAGTATATCTACACATATCCGTGCCGTACCTATCAGTGTCAGTGAAAAATATAATATCGTTGCCCCAGTCCCAAATAGAGTTTTTCAGACCGTCCGGCACATTGCCGTTTTTTAGCGTCAGTGCTGCTTCAGTATTCGTTCCGCAATTTTTTTTACACTCTAAAAATTGCTAGTAAAACTGCTACTGAAAAGTGTTAATTTTCAAATCTGTGTAATAGAGAGAAATATGTATGTGGTTTGTTGATGCTCTCTAAACACAAACGCGTGAAGGGCAAACGGTCTAGCAATGCGTGGTATTGTTGATCAACTTAATACTTTAATTAAACATAAGATGTTCAAGACTGGACTGGATTTTTGAACATGAGACTTTTTAAAATATACACATAAAGTGTTTAAAATTGCCAACGTTTTTAACGCAAAAATACATTCCCTACTAAAAATAAAAATTAAGTACATTTTATGTGTCATTTTGCTCTACGTGACCAATTTGGTATGTAAAAGTAAACAGCCAGTGTTTAATTTTATTAACACGGTATCTAAATTAGCACACATTAGGAGAGGAAACTGGTAACCTCTCTTAATATGCGTTAATTTAAGCAAAAAAAACTTTTACAGCAAATTTTAAACACTTCATCTGTAAACTGTGTAGTTGTGAACACTAAGAAATTTCGATAGAAATTTTTTTATTTAAGTTTTAAGTAATGATTTAACTATACTTTAAAATAGTTAAATTAACGGCCTTAAGGGCAAAATTCACAGTGCTGTACTGAAAACCTGTAGTTAACTGAAGATTCTAAGTTAACTACGCGCCGTGAATTTAGCCTTGAGCGTTTAGAACTCAACAAACAAATTTCAGATTTGTTCTACGCCACACATATGGTCAGTAAAAGTAAAAAAGCAGTATTTAAATTGATTAACACGGTGTGCAAATTTGCATACATTAAGTGATTAAACTGGTTACCTTTTTTAATATGCTTAAATTTAAACAAACATTTTTTAGAGTGTAGTTAACTCGGCAAAGATTTGTTTTTGTCTTTCCCTGACGAGCTGACGGTATTCTATTGCAAATTTTGTTCAATATGGAGGTGAAATTAATCGAGTTGGTACGGAATTATTCAGAATTATATAATTTGGCAATAATTGACAACTGATCATTAGTAAAATAAGTCATCTGGTTTCAGTGAACTTCATTTTAGTGAAAGTACCGGACGACACACTACGAATGTGTGTGAATTGGTATCACTGATCGATGCTGATTGGCTATAATACTGAACTGATACGCGCTGATTTGTGAAGATAGCTCTTAAATTTTGTTATTATCACCAATCGATTACCACACATTATATGTACATACATATGTACTAGGGTTACAATGGCCGCCCATATGAATTATGGATACTAATAAAGGCAAAATTCTTCCCCTGAAGAGATTTTCCCATTTGAGTTTCAAAACGGTTTCTCCTTACCTTTGATGCAAAATTACTTACGAGGCATCGCGAAGCACGCAGGGTATTTGCTAGTAAAACAATAAAATTTGTGCAAATAATAGAAAAATTGCTGAAAGTTAATTAAAGGAATAATAATTTTGCATCTCTTAACATTTTTTGCTTGATACTTTGACGCTTTGAAGTTCCTTCGTGTGCAGATCTTGAGTCGTAGAGGAATCGTTGCTGCAAAAAAAATCTATACGCGTCTAAAGCTATACGAACCGTACGAAGACTGCCTAAATCGCAAAAAAAAATTAAATTTAGGAAATGGGCTATTTGACATCAAAGTACATAATGATAAGTGGTTAAATGGGAAACAGCTCAAGTTTTGCTTTTATGGGCCGTGCTGTTTGATAAAAAAAGGAAATTTTGACGGATCAGGATAAAAATTTGAGCTTTCTCGTCAAAATTTTACCAAGCTCATGGGGCTAAGTAAAATTTGACAGTTTGTAAATATTATCTACGCATAGTATTGTTGGCGGTAATAAAGAGTGAAAATGAAAATGGAAGCTGATAAAAACCACAAAAAACGTACATTACTTGCGATTTATAAAATAGATGTAAATTTTGACAATTTCAGTAACACACAAAAATAGAGCTTTCGCACGAGCGTGTTTGGCTTGTTGCACAGGCCGTATGTCAAAATATGGATAAGGTTGCCGTCCGAAAGTTTTCGTGAAAAGGAAAACGTAGCTGATAACCTACCAAGTTACTCAATAGATGCCAAGATAAAAGCCCTGATATGTATTACTCCCTATATTCTAACATATGTGTCAAGATATACACTCCATCCGGTGAAGACGGGCAGTCACAGACAATTGTCCCGACTATCACTAGCCTCCGCTGGAAAGCTTCTATTAACAAAAAAAAAAGTAACCAAACAAACCTACGGGAACTGGTGACAATCAGCGACAACTATCCACAAGGAAACACAGCTATCGTCAA